TTCTCAATACGGACAAAAAACATTATCGAATCCCCAGTTTATAGCGACGTAAGACCGCAGACATACTGCTGTGCCACTGGGGGGCATCTTTAAAACTAGATTATGAATAATTCGCATAATAATGACACCTTTTATTTAACAACAATAACGCGCATACGTTAGTAACATTGATTACCAGTAAGTATTATTCGTGCTGATTACCAGCTTATTTTACATATACGTACGTACAAATACATTGTGCAGAATAACAGTATATAAAAAGTAGTTAATGCTTTCTATTTATTAGTTTATATATAAGGTAAGATATGAGGACAAAGCAGAATTTTTTAAATGAATTTCATAACTGTGTTTTTTTTGCAACTATAGAGAGTTTGACCTCACTTGCTTGTGTGGCATTTTAATTTGGAATAGAAAAAGGTTGAAAGATCACTCATTAAAAGTATAATATATTGTTTAAGTTGCTTTTAAATTGTGAAACACCAACTGTGATATACAGATTAAAATTAGACACTGAAATATTTCTGTCTGAATTATCCTACTATAATGGGTCAACTGCCTGAAACGTTTCATCATATTAAAAATTCTATACTTGTTAAATTCTTCGAAAAAACAACAACGCGTAAACGAACTTTACACAGAACCACATAACAAGAGCTAGAGAAACTTGAATACTATGACACTACTGCCGCATTGCTACGCAATTTGCTAACATAAGCTATTGGCAAGCAGACAGATACATTATGATAAGGGGGCTTAATTACCCATCGAAATACACGCCCCCCCCCCGGCTCCCCCACTCATCCCTCGAGTCTCTTATGGATCTGACAATAATTGCCAAGAGTGGTTAAGGGTCTCCATGTAATTTTGCTCCACAGGCCACATGATGGACAAACATAAAAGTAAGATATTCTGAGTAACTATAAAGAATGGAGACGATAATGTAATTCATAATTAAGAGCTGACACTTGATTTGCCAAAAATTAAATGGGTCAAAAGGATAATTTGGTATGGTAAAAAAAATTAAACAAAGTATAACTAGATTAAAACCGAATAAAGTAAAGCTATCACTGGAAATTAAAAAAGAAACTGACAGCACTTAAAAACTCCACAGTGGTCAACAGCTAACAAAAAATGACTAGAAATTCTCTTTCGTCTGCAAAATCAGGCAGTTCGGCAAAGGATCCTCTGAAGAAAAAAACTGCAGTCCTGAAAGCAGCAACAACAATACACCATAGTGAATGACAATCATGAAACCTTGTTTCTAGTTTATCACTCCATCCACATGTGACAGGTGTACGAATACCTTGGGTGTAGACTGTCACTCCACCCACATATGACAAGTGCACAAATACCTTGGGTGTAGACTGTCACTCCACCCACACATGCGACAAGAACACAAATACTTTGAGTGTAGAGTATCAGTCCACCCACGTGTGATAGGTGCATAGATACACAATTCATGGGCTACTATTTACCAACGAAAAGTGGGACTGCCCATCACATTATAACGCTCTCACGAATGAAAGGATGACGGGATTCAAACTTGTGACCTGCAGATTGCGAGTCAAGCACCCTAACCACCAGACCATGCCAGGCCTCATTGTGACCTGCAGATTGCGAGTCAAGCACCCTAACCACCAGACCATGCCAGGCCTCATTATCAAGAAGCAGAGACTGCAGATAGAACACGATATCCGTGAAAAACTCGTCCTTCTGTTCTGGATGTTTAACTTAACCATCATTTTTCAAAAGGTTTTAATAAACTTCCGTAATCGTTTTAACTAGTATACCATACTAACCAGACCATCATATACATCAGACCATTAGGTGTCAAGGACAATCCTGGCTAGCATCTGCCTCAGAAACCGCTCACTTACAAGTCTATGGTAGGAACCTAACACACGTATAAGTAGAATTGTGAGTTACATTAATAATATTGTTAAAGATATTTACATACATATAAAATCATTAAATACTTGGTCCGATACATACGTAATGTGAAATAATAATTTAGGCACGAGCTCTAACATTATTCAAATACCTAAATTACTTTAGGTCACTTTATTGATAATGGAAAATCACTTAAAAACCCCATTAATTGTTAAACACGGTCTTTCATTATTGCTTTTTTTTTAGAAGTCACAGATGACTCGCTGGTAACAGTTACTTAGAAGGGATTAAAATCATTACAAAAAATAAAAACACCTTTTTCAAATGATGCACATTTACTTACACGGCTTTTCTTGAATTGAACACAAATCTAACTGTCCATATTCCCTTGAGTATTAAAATATTATTGAAAGCACACGCAATCCAAAAATATTTGACCAAACATGATGTTTGTTTGTTTCGGATATTCGCACAGAGCTACACTAAGGGTTATCTGCCCTTACTGTGAACAGGTGAATTAAAAGGAAGCTAGCTACTCAACATCACCTGCTGTTGTTTTATTATCACTTTATTTACACATATATATATATATACGATTTCAGCTAGATCTCTAGTAGGTCTATCTCATAAATCATGGGC